AATTATTCATGTCCTTGTGCTAAGAAGCATGAATAAAATCGATTTCCTAGTATTCATATAGTTTTGAACTGATGTTGAAACTGGTCATCGAAACGTTTCCGTATAAATTTGTGGATTTATTTGGCATTTTCGTTGCTTTTAAAATCTTAGTGATTCCTTCAATGTCGTGTACTTAATAAGACTTCTAAGTTCAAACGCACACACAGCTATCGAGATCGTGGTAACGTTGTACGTATGCTAATTAGACAGAATTCAAGCGACTCGCGTGAAAAAAAAAAACCGTGCATGAGCCCTATTGGGCCAGTTAGGATTAGTTCCTTCGCTGTATATTGATTGTCCTTCATAAACTATCGGGTTCAAGTAAAGTAAAAGAATGTGTTCTATTGTAAAAGATATCGCCCAGTGAAGAATTCACTGCTTGCTTCACTAAGCCACTTGCAAATCTTACATTTAGTTTATAAGAGACCGGCGTCTCGAGAGCATGCAAGTTCCGCCACTGTGATATGGTCTAATTTATCACAGAGCAATGACACGATCTCCAGGGCCATGAGATAAGGCATTCAATTGAAGGAATTACGCTTGTCGAGCTCAACGCAATCTCTGTCGAGTTGGATAGCATTTAAGCCAGCCTGCGCCGCTGAGCTGGCAGGGACAACATTAGCTTTCATCCTGCATATAAACTCTTATTTTTTGCCCATGAATAGATCAGGGTTGGTCTATGACTCTATGGTGATGCCACTCTAATTACTCAATCGCATTAGTTGGTGATATTGCTAGATGTTCTAGTATGCATGTTAATGAAGGTAAGAATGTTCCGAGAATAACTTCATAAAATTGCATGAAAAGTGAGATAAAACAAAATACCTATATCAAAATTGTTGTCTTATTTCATAACTTAAGTATTGCGTTTTGTTTCATATGATCAAAACCAAGTTGATTTTTTTAGGCAATTGAGGCAATCAGCGCTTGCTTCATGTACAACTGTAATTTAGTCCCGGTTTTAATTAGGACGTTCTATTACAAGTTGCTGAAGCTCAAAAAGAGACAAATTATACGGCTTTTTGTTGCGTCTTTTAACCAACTGACCTGTACAAAATTTCATGGCTATCATGCAAATTGGAGCTAAACGGATCTTACTCTTTACGTGCATTTTAGTTTCTCTTGGCGCGGCTTAAACGAGACCTGTTTATCACCAGAACATGTCCGAGTATCACGCACCGCTTTTTCGCCCAAGATATTCATGCTACAAGATTAACTGAACAAATTACACAGCCTAGATTCATGCGTTCTTGGTTCCGCACCGAACATCATTATCATTATTATTCTACGAAGCAATTATCGTGGCTTCTGGATCGGACGAACTTCGAGGGCACGTTAAACATAAGATTAATAGCAAGCGAAAAATAAAAAGACTCGAGAAATGATGAGAACGGATAAAAATGACTAGTGCTTGATTCGTAGGCTTTACAAAATAGTTCCGTTTCTAGGCGTCGACGAAACACTGGTAACGGAGGAGCCGATGTTTCGTAAGCTGGCAGACTGTTCCAGGTTATGGCGGCGTCGACCGGGAACGCTCTGTCGCCGACGGTAGATAGGCGTGTAGATGGTACGACGAAGTCCGCTGTTGACAAACGCAGTCGCCTTCTAGGCAGATCCGACACGCACTGCAGACCTTCCACGAGGTTAGGAGGCGCTAGACCTTGAAGGCATCGGGACTAATGCCCGGACTATATAACATTGAAATTGAACTGTGTTCGCTGCATGCGCAGCCAGTGAAGATCGCGCATTATCGGCGTCACGTGGTAGATTTTTCGTTTATTGTACGTTCGAACAGCGTTCACTGCGGATTGCAGTTTATTGAGTGCCGTGGTCAGAAGTTGAGAGCATGCAAGTCGAGAGCGCATACGAGTTTAGGACCGTGGACTACGAAGTCCTAAACTCATCATAAGGCCATAAGGCGCGACTGACTCGAGAGACAGCGACTGACGCTACGAATTCGTCGAAACAAGTCCGACTTTTCTATTCCCAAAGTCCCGAAACAAGCGGTTGTGACTTTGGGAATGTTCATATACATTGAAACTTCCGAGTCCAGCTGAGTGCCGAGGTTGCGAACCGATGACGCAGGCACAACGAACTCATTTGATCGCAAACCAAATAAAATCGGTTTTGATGCATTGAGCTGGAACCGTACGTTGGAATTCCAACGCATCCTGACTGAGACAGCGTCCATGCAGACTGACATCCGGTCCTGCAACGTCAGCCGGCGCACAGTAGCCATAAATTTGGGTGTCGTCGGCGAACATATGCGGATTCAAACTATGAGAATCAATTATGTGCAACACGTCGACAGTATATAACTGGAAGAGGATGGGGGCAAGAACTGACTCCTGTGGTACGCGCTGCAAGTGACCAAGGATGGCGTAGAAGAAGAGTGCCCGCGCCTAACGCATTGGAATCTATTGCTGAGATAGGACTCGAATCACCACAGCAATGTGCCGCGCAGGCAGAATGATACGTCAAGTCACCGCATTTAAGTGTCGTGGTCGACCGTGTCAAATGCGGCCGACAGGTCGAGTAAAGCCAGTGTCGCTATATGTCGCCGCGGTCTACTGCTCGCAAAATATATAAAAAGCGCCTTCAGCGCATCGGTTCCCGTCAAATGGAGATGACGGTATGCAAACTGGAGGCGAGACATGAGACAGGACTGCTGGATTCAATAATAATTACGAAGGGTTCAATTATCTCATGAAGAGTGCTAATTTCAAGCGGGTCGTACATAAGGTTAGCCAAAACTTATTATTTTAAACTCTGAAACGAAATTGAAACCACAACTAAAGGCACTTCACAATGCGATGTGTGGAGGACAATTCATGGAAATTCTAGGAAATGAGATTGCGAGGATATGCATTGTGTTGCCCACCTGCTATGGTGATTGGTGATGCTTGCACACGCACAACGACGCAGCATTGGGCATGCTGCTGCTCCGCCCGGCTTTGTGTTAATTCACAATATAACGATTAGTTTCCGTTTAGTATTTTTGGTTACATTTGAAATGAATATTTTTCTCTCGTTTTTCTAGTTGTTTGTTGAAGAGAAAATTATTCATAGTATTGTACAGAATTTTTTCATACATGTGTCTCAAGCGAAAAATCAGTCCCACCCCTTTTTTTAAATAGCTTATAAATTAATCCCAGCTCTACAATGAAAGAATGACTTCAAATGAATTTGGTTTAATTTTTTACGTGAGGTCGGGTATTTTCTGGACGAAAGAAAACTCTCCTTCGTTTTGTTTTATCGAAGGCCTTAATGGAGTGTTGAACACATTTAAATATTTCTAGCTCATGAGGCGCTTCTTGCGCCAGAAAGAACTTGAAGCATTTCTTCGATACATAACTTTTTGGATGAACGTTCTAATGCTTTCTCTAAACACAACACAAATTACACAACACAACGTTCTAAACACAACAACGTTAACTTCATTTACTCCACTAGGAAAAATAGATAACTTTCAGCGCAAAAATTAACCAATTTATGTATGTAGAGGAAAAGAACAGCACTGCTGCCATCCGGAAAGATGTCTGCAGGAGCCTTCAATTTGCTGCAAAGCACCAACTTCACCAGCCCCGTAACTGGGCCAGAGATAAGGATGCTGTGCGGCAAAACCAAAGACACCAATTTACTTGTTTCTTTTTTGTCAATCGCTAAACGCCCAGATTTCGTGCCTGCTACTACTTGAAGCCCAAGGTGCTCGCGTAGATTTCGGCTTTCTTCAATTTGACGTTTTTTGCCGATATTGCTTAGTGCCGCTTCTTGTTAACGTCTTCGTCTAAAAAAAAAATTGCTGCCTCTGAACACATTATTCATTGCCGTGTTCTTGAAATGTTCCCACAATTTGACCCTCAAATTTCTTGTTGTGTAATTTTTTTTAGTTTCTGAGGAAAAACGCTGTAAAGTTACCGCGCGTTGGTGTTAAGTTTTGTTTTGCATGCCATAAACGATTCAATAAACAATGTTTAACGATTTAAATTTACTCTAATTCAGTGGTCTTGCACATATTTTAGTGCGTTGCTACTTCGCCGACGTTGAAATATACTGTTTTTTGTTTTTGACAAAGTAATGTAGTTAATTAACAGTTTGAAAGAAAATGACCGAATTATGATGAAAATTTAGGCGAGCTGCGTTCCACAATAAAAAACTCGCATGTACTTTTAAGAATGCAGTTGCCGCACAACGTTCGTCCTCGTTGTTGTGATGCGTCTCTCTTGATAAAATTTCGCTCAATTTACTGGTCCATTAAAAACCAGCTCTAGTAAAGTATTGCGCTGAGTGAGGCAGATTAGAGTGAGCTTCTCTCAGACTGCCCCCGTTAATTGCCTTGTGAAATGAAGCGCGTATACTTCTGTTTTGCGGCGAGTGGGCTTTAGTCTCACGCTGGGTTGTAAAGTTTTTCGCTTGTGACGTCCGAGGTACTAATTTTGTAGCTTCGTATGGTAACGTATATTGTTGGAAGCAAATACCGGAGTTGAAACTGTTTCTTCACAAAATTATTCATCTCGATCCTAATATTTCCTCACGATCTAATATTTGTTTTTGATCCTAAGGAAAGCGCTGGGACAATCGTCATTTTTTGCAGTTGTTGTTAATATTTGTTAGAATATTAAGTTGCAGCTGATGTTAATATTTGTTAGAATACTTGATACTTGGAGGAAACAAATGAATAATTGTTATTGTTTTATATTTATTCTACCAGGACGTGTTGGAAGTTAGTGCAAAGTGGTGTAGTGATTAATGGTGTTATGAAAAGTTCCATAAGCAACTTTGCCTCAGTATGAGTGTTAATGAAGACTAGCACAACTTTATTTTTTCACTTAAAAAACCTAACCTTGGCGATCCTTTTGTTTTATATTCACTCAGGCAGGTTTAATTGTAAAAGACAGTTGATCAAAAATCTGAAGTGAATGAATGGAAAAGTTTTCAACTTCTTTTGAAATGAGCCGCAGGACCTACAAGCTCCTCGCCAGGATGTCTCGAGATCCAGGTCAGTTATTAATTTCAACCCAGCCAATAACATTCGTGAACATAATTCATCAGTGAGTCTATAAGAGTAAGCTTATAGACTATAAGATAGACTTATAAGATTCTATTCATCAGCATAGTCGCAAATTATTGTACGTGAAGAATTATCAAGTTTGAGGAAGTATGAGTGATGCTCTCGAGCAAATCTTTAGGTGTTAAATGATATATTACAGTGAGTATGAGTGAGGGTAGAGTGGCAGTGAGTCCGAGTGAGGGTAGAGTGGCAGTGAGTGTGAGTGAGGGTAGAGAGGCAGTGAGTCCGAGTGAGGGTAGAGAGGCAGTGAGACCGAGTGAGGGTAGAATGGCAGTGAGACCGACTGAGGGTAGAGTGGCAGTGAGACCTGTCTCTTATACACATCTAGATGTGTATAAGAGACAGGGGTAGAGTGGCAGTGAGACCGAGTGAGGGTAGAGTGGCAGTGAGACCGACTGAGGGTAGAGTGGCAGTGAGTCCGAGTGAGGGTAGAGTGGCAGTGAGACCGACTGAGGGTAGAGTGGCAGTGAGACTGAGTGAGGGTAGAGAGGCAGTGAGACCGAGTGAGGGTAGAGTGGCAGCGCGCCTGAGTGGAGTGCAAGTTTATGGAGCATTGAGTCCGACTGAGGGTATATGTTTCTGAGGGTCTGACTGAGGGTAGTTGGGTCAGCAAGGCCGAGTGAGGGAGGATGAGACCTCTCTTCCTCGCTGCTCTCTTTTAGCATCCCTTCGCCGGGTTGTTCCTCTTCAACTTTGTCCGTGTGTTCCTCTTTACCCTGCAATTGCGTACTTATTAACACTGATTATTTATTTTGGTTTGTCTTTCAGGCTGCGCCTCTTTTTTGCCTCGGTATTGTTGTCTTCATTCTCTGCTTGGCGTAATTTTCGCCTTAACATTATATGATAACATTAGTTGTTATGATTTTGACGCTCCCTCGATTACATGCGCTGAAAATATAGTTAATGTTTAAATAGTTGAGCCGATTATGGCACTATACATTTACAACAACATGTAATGTGTAGCGACTATACAACATTTAGGAACGGAAAAAATTCAATTGACTTTCTAATTTTTGTTGGTCGTTAAAATTAGTGGAAATAGCAGTAGAAATGTAGAAAAGTAAAATAAACAATTCGTGAAAAGAAATCTAAAAGTTACTGATATTTCTAGCAGATAATTACTTATTCAATAAGTATTTATGATCACAATGATGCTCTATAATCCAAGCTCATCCATGCAGGCTGTGGTTAACGCCGCAGTCTTCCAAAGCGTGTGTTTAACGCATGCCAAAGCTACGAACTCAGCTGCAATGGAAGTGTCATTTCAACGGACGTTAAGTTCAGTTTATGTGGCTCTGTCCGTGTTAGCTTCTCTTACATCTTATTTACGCGCCGCTTATCGGTAATTGGACAGCAGCCTTGCGGCTGACTACCGTATGCATGACTATGGCCCCTTTTTAGCTCATTGTCTCGTTTATGGAAAAAATGCACTATTGTGCTCGCCATGTCCGTCTGTCCGTCCGTCTAGTTGTCCGTGATTTCACGTTTTCGTCGACGAGAACTGTCTCTCACTCACTGCAGTGAGTATTGAGTTATATTTTTTGTGTTTAAACGGAACCATCCACGGCAGCTGCATCATGATTGTCACGAATTGATTGTGAGGTGCAAAGGATTATAAGCTTTTCTGGAAGCGTTACGAACCATATTTCAAGCCTATAAAGAATCGTTTTAAAATTTTTTGTAGAATTAAATGACAGGTTGCAGTATTATTGATCATAGGATAACGGTGGCAGGTCTAAACATTTGCAGAGAGATTTTACGTGTTCTGTGATCTCCACTATTTAGTATCAATAAATTCAACGTTTATTTATTTCATTCGTATTTCCTCTTTATTTATGTTGTGAAATTTCCTCTTTTCAAAAGAATTCGATAGTAGGTAGTACTTGTCATGTTTGAACTTGTACAAGTGATTTCAAACAGTTCATCCACGATTGATTAGACCGAATATATTGTCTTTAATGAAATACAAGATGCATCAAAAAATGTCTTTTAGTTGGAATGTTTGCGGAAGTCTGTGGTTTACGTCATTTTAGCCGGGCTGAATAGCTTGACTTAGTGCCTGGCAATTATTATGACACGGTGGCTAGATCTTTTAGATATCTTATCCATAATTCCGTAGATCCCTCGGGAATAATTCACAGGTCAAATCATACATTTTAAGCACCCAGCTTGCGATGTATGAGCTATTAACATAAATCTACTTAATGAGGTGCCTGTAATGTCCTACAAATTCGTTCCCGAGCTGCCAATAGATCAAAAGAGAGAAACAAACTCTGCTATGATCAATGTGTTACAACACCTAGCTGCATTTTGCCACGCCCGCTGATTAGGAGATACCTTGTGTCATGACTGAAAAACCGGAGTTTTTAAGATCTGTTTCCCGTCCTTGCCTATCTTGAAGGCTTTCAGCGGCTGCCGCGAAGACGAGGAATGAAAGCATCATCGTTCAATTTCTGTCACTGGCTATCCCACGTTTCAGCGCCGGTCTCGACTGCAGTTTTTTTGAAGATGCCGGTTTCGAACTTGAGAGGTTTTAAATTTATGACTTGTCAAATAACATTCTGTAAATAAATGAATGTTTATTTGGAGTTATACTGTTGCAATTTTTATAATTGTAGCAACGGCTATGCCTGTATTGTTTGATGGCTGTCTTAAAGGAACGTGCGTGCCACAAAAGTTTTTATTTTAAATACAACGCCACTACGAATTCCAATATAAGTTTGAGAAAAATATGATTCATGTAGCTTCATTCAACTGTCTGGTGGCATCGAGATAATTAAAATTTGTTATTTTATCTAATGACTTTTCGGCTTAAATTCAACGATTCAGGGTATAAATCAAACCAGCTGAAATAATTCTCTCCAAATATAATTTTGATAGCAAACGTTTCCTAGAAGATTTTTCCATACCATTGCCATTGATGGTTAACTATTTTGGCCGTAACGCGTCACTATATTCTTTTTAGAATAAGGACGTCTGCAATTCTGATGCTGAAACTGCCGCACCAGATATCCGAATTTCGACCATTCCGTTCTCGTTTGATGGGCAAGGGACTACAATTTTACGGACTTGTTTTTGTAGGCAATGATAGCCTTGTCAAACAAATCTCTGCAAGAAATGCTAACCTGGTTTTGAGTCAGACATGACAGTTTGTCAGGCCAATTGTCTTGGGAAGTCGGGAAGAGCTGTGCGTACGTTCTCATCTTTAATACGCAAACGAGTAAGAGATGCAAGGAAACACATGGCTGAGAAACTCGAGTAATTATTAAACGGGAGATTCATTCGAGCTTCGAGCCGGGTAGCTTCGTGTGCACCCCGAAGATGCAAACGTCCCGAGAGCTTCGGGATTGCTCGGTATTACTGGAGTGCTGCCACTGCACCGCACGCGGTTAACGAGAAGCAACCGTCCGCAATGTTGGAGATCTTGGTAAATGGGATGGGTATAATATTCAAGAATGGTGTTAAAATCAGAATTGTAGAAGCTATAAATGTATTCAAATGATTAATATAATGCAGGACATTCACCTTTAAAGTTAACGAGTGGCAGAAGCGCAAGTGATAACAATGTTTAGGTGTCTACTTTTTACACTGAAAGTGAATTACCGACCGGCCTGATATTCCATCCCGGTGCACTGAGACCCACCTCTACTTCATTAGGCTTCTATAAAGTTCAACCGACGACGCAGAGAGGTCAGCAGGCGTCCTATCCGTCCTACTGCACGTCGTTAGGTCTCCACGACTGCAAGGACTGCTATCCCGCTGACGAGGTCTAGTGAAGGAGAGCTAGCCGCTCTCGGTCTTCATTTTGCAGTTTAAAATTGGCCAATACAGAAAAATCCGTACAAGAAGAGATAGAAGGGAGTGAGAGGTGGTCGTCATCCGGTGGTGGTAATTGCTGAACTGGCGTTTGGAATTCAGCTAGGGTTGAAAATCTCGAGGCTGTGAGTCAATGCATGCTAGTGAAATTCAATGGGTGCAGTTAAACACGTCAAAAGAGACCATACCCTCGAAAATGAATTTAAATTTATACACAGGAAAGAATTGTGATTACTTAAGGCTCAGCTTTAAAATGAAAGAATGATTTTGGTTTTTAACATCTCAAAAAAGTTGTCTTCATTTTTAAAGAAGGTTGTGTAATTTTAATTCCGGTACTCTACTTACTTCCATTATCTTTCTAAGAAAAATAAAGAATTAAGATGCTAAATCAGATTAACCTTGCCTCGATGAAGTGTTACAATCTTTTAAAGCAATGTTTTTTTGAGCCTGAAATAAAATCATGCGTGAGTGTTCAAGAAAATGTCTACCATGAAATTCTGTCGACTGCCTAACAGCCTGTTACGTAAAAGTGATGGCTTAAGTGTGTTTGCTAAGTAACGCGAAGGGAAAGCCTGTGAAAGCAGACCGCTGTAGCAGAGCTTGTTCTAGCCAAACAGTTCTCTTCTGTGGCGCTATTGGAGGAAGTCAGCCCTGAAACATGACCATGCGCCGAACCCAAGACGTCCAAGTCTACTTCAGCACATGTTAGTTAATGTTTGTTCTCCACACTAATTACAGCAAATGTTTTTTTTCAGTAACTAACTACCGAACACAGTCATTCGTGATAGTTGCTGCTCTTATTTATTTGGTCGTGTATATTAAGTTTCTGTGTGTTGGATAACTAACTAATCTATGCTTTAGAAATAAATTGAATGTGCGGAGTAATTTCCGTAGACTATATGTGAATCCCTTCAAGTCAATTATTGTCTGTTACACACGAGAGTCTGGACGTCTCGGCTCTTCACCATAGGAATCCTCTAGAAATATTTGGTTAAGGCGTATTTTAAATTCACGACCCCAACATTTTTGACATAAAATTGTCTAGATTCGTGATTATTTGTTCAGACACAAAATATAGATAATGTTTTCTATTAGATGAAAGGAGAATATTC